GGAGCCTGTAAAGAGCACTATACAAGACATAGTCTGTATTGTTTGCTCAAAAGCAGCATCAAGTGCTCACAAGTGTAAATCGTGTAATATGTTTGTTCACGCAGTTTGTGGTGAAGTAGATCCTAAAGAGGAAGGGTATGGTAAGAATGTATTGTGCATCATCTGTAAAAAAATATGGATCAGAAAATACAGCGTGATGAAGCCAAGAAATGTTTAGAAAAGCAAGCAAAGAAAATGTTAGCAGTTTCTAATGCATAGCACCCAAACGTCGATGAAGGTTTCGCTGCGAGAATTAAAGTACCCGAAGAAGACAGAGAAAAAACTGATGCACATTCAGTTTTAGCTGTGGTTCTTAGTAAAACAGAGGATGGCTTTTATAAACTTGATACTAAAACAGGTATTTTAAAACAATTGTATGCNAGTAAGCCTTAATTCTGTCCCTCTCCCCCGCGGGGGAAAATCGAAAAATCCCTTCTTAGTGTACATTCTGTTGACGTACCCTATTAAAACGCAATAAAAAATGCAAAAAAAAAACCCCGCATCTAAAATAGTATAAATAGAAGCAGAATTCTTTACGGCAAGCCTTAATCCTAACCATCTCCCTTCAGTGAGGGAATTTCGACACGTATATTATATAAAAACACGTGCGTATTCGAATGCAGCGTTATGTGAAAATTGCAAAGGAATCGGTAGGAACAAACGAATATTACATTTCTATGTATATAGATAGATAGAAGATGATCTGCTTTAGTTCATTCTCACAGAAAAGCATAATGTCTCACAGAAAAGCAAACTTTGGGCGTCGTACTTGTAGCGCCATCTGTTGGACTAAAAGCCTTAACCTAGATTATATTTTTTAATTTATATGAATGTTTATCGGAATAATATACAGCCTATATCCACCCTGAGGTTCCATTCTAAATATTGGTGAAAGAATTTTTGAAATCGGATGAGTAGTTTCGGAGATTACCTGCTGCAAAAAACTTACATACATACATACATACATACAAACATTACCTTTTTATAATATTAGTATAGATGAATTACATTTAAAAAAAAAATAGAACTAACAAAAAAATTTTTAATGTTTTTAAAGTTTTATTGGGATATCAAGTAATAATAATTATTTATGAAGTAATATTTATAAAAAAAAACTTTGCTCATAATGGGCTTGCTAAAAGAGGCCTTTTTAGTGTGCACAGAGCGGAAAAAGCTAAAGAAAGTGCCTATTTTAATTAAGAATTTTAAATGCCACTTTCATTTTTTTCTCACGTATTTTTAACGGTAACATTTGTGATATAATCGAAAATATAAATTTAAAATGGTGCACTTTGTTAATGAAAACAAAGCGCAATTACAAAAGGAACAGATAATAACAAACATAAACATATAAAATAACGAGAAAAATCTCTTCTATTTCACATACTTTTATTACTTCATAACTAATACATTCATTTGTTACATTCACCGCAAATTATGTTATTTTCTTCACAAATACAAATTTTCAATTTGTATTTGTGAAGATGAGTAAACAGATCTACGAAATACAAATTTTCAATTTGTATTTCGTAGATCTGTTTAGTAAATAAATGCATATAGAAACAAAAATGAATAGATTTTGTTACAGAATACATTATATAGATATATTTTATACATCATTTTGAAGCTTATGTAATACAGATTAACCCTATTGCATTTAATTTACTTTTGATCTAATTTAAAACAATTAGAAGCAAATACACGCTCAATTTTGCTCTTGCCGTAGTGGCGCTTTTTCCCGCCATTCCAGCTATTGAACACACCTCTCCGGCATTAAAATGCTTCTGAAAATAACTTTTCGAGTACTTTTATTGATTTTCTAAAGCTTTGTTATCAAGAGAAGGGTTATTTACATTAAAGTTTTGTCAGTAGGACTGTCATTTATTTTGTATAAAGTCGTACCTAAGTAAAGAACTCTTATGAGTAAACAGAAGAGAAACGAAAACAATGTTCTGTTAAATGTTGCCGATTTAATTCGCATGTGGAAATGAATACATAACAGTCAAAATATTTACACAAAAATCTGTTGTAAACCGAGAAATTTTATGTCTTATATAAATAAAATTTATGTAAATGAATTTATTTGCATTCTTTGTCTCTTTCTTGTTTATTTTCAATCTAAAAACAGTTTTTTACAGATAATATTTTCATGAGTACATCTAGGCTCTCCAGAGTTTGCTACCAGAATTTTTGGGTTTTGCGTATCATATCAGATGCTTTTTCAGCGATCATAAGTACTGCTGCATTGTGAGCCCCTGAAACCGTAATTGGCATAATTGATGCATCAACAACTCTTAATCTCGATACTCCCTTTACTCTGTAAAAGAGAATTGAATACTAATGAAAATAAACGCCCAATGTTTCTAACTGTAAATTTCAAAATGCTAAAGAATCCAAAATATCAAACCTAAGTTTGGGATCCAGTACTGTAGTTGGATCTTCAATTGCACCCATTTTACATGTTCCCACTGCATGATATGAAGTTGTACTTAAAGTTCTTACTATGCAATGCAAATCTTCATCACTAAATTGTACGTATTTTTCGCATCCAGGAATTCTTCTTGGAAATATTCGAGCTCCGTATTTTTTTAACGCTATTGAATTACCAAACCTAAGAATTTCCTTCAAGGCTAAACCATACAAATAAAACATATAACTTATTTTATGAAATTATATACTTAATTACAAAAACATTTCATACCATCAACTAGAGCTAAAACATCTTCAAAATTAGATAAATAATTAGGTTGGATGATGGGTTGATCATGAGGATTTGCAGTCCTTAATTTTATATATCCTAGACTTTTAGGACGGATTAAAATAGGTGCTATAGCAAATGCTTCTCGGTAAGAAAATGGTTTATAACAACGTTCCCATATCTGCATAAACATTAATTAAGGTTTATTAAGGTTATAAATTAAGATTTTCATACTATTTCAATTATTCAATAGAACGGCCATAAATCAACTGACCTCTGGGTTCAATCCAAGAACCCAACGAAAAATTTTTCCACCATCAAATGCTGCAGTGAAAGAAAAAAAGTTAATCTCGATGTCCGGATAATCATTTGATTTATTTGCATATTTTGAATCAATATATCCCGTGACATCGAAGCCTGCAGGCACTGTCAAAAGTCCTGAAAAATATCATTAAATTTTTAAAATTGGTCTGAAAGAAAATATTTACAAAGTTTATCTGAAAAAGCGTTATTTTTGAGTTACAAGCACGTGTCTGTTATCTCCAGGTTTGTATTCATATACAATTTTTTCTCTAGCAATTCTCTTTAAGTAAAATCTAACAAACAACGAATACTGAATTAGTATAAATAGTATTGAATAACATATTATATTCGGTATTTGTTTCACGATTGAAATTTACCAGAAATTTTATTAGTGTTAATTTATGTTATTTATCGTACAACAGAACTTTTTCTATTTAATAGCTGTGCTAGTATTTATAGTCGAATTATCTTGAAAGTGTTGTCTTCTAATCATCACATTTTTTATTCATTTCTAATTAACTTTTATTCATTTAGAAATTTCTTTACTTGTCTTATGTAGCATTTAAGTAATATTTCTTTTCATAAAAATTAGAATAAAAACAACGGTTTGAAAGAACGGTTTGAAATAAAAAATAAAAAACGGTTTGAAAGAAATGTGGAAATCAATTTGCGAAGTTAATGTTTTGAACGGTGAAAGTGTCAAACGAATATTTGATAAAATATCCATGTAAATTAAAGTTTATATTAAAATGTAAAAGACCGTTGTAAAGAATATCGATAAACTGAAGTTAAATTTTTAACGTAAAAAACAAAGAGCAAACGATTTTGTAAGCTGTGCGTCATGCTAACAGAAGTGGAATGAAACCAAACATGTGTATTGGCAAACAAATGTACAGTACAGTACAATAGATACGATACTGAATAATGTGGATCTATCAAGAGTCTTAAAGTCTTAAATGAGCGCTTCATTGTGAATTAAAATACAAATAATCTTTACTTATTAATCATAACATCGAAGTATATGGAAGCAACGAAGCTTAAGAAGCGGTTGTATATATTGACAAGTGATGTGAAAAAGAAACTTATTACGAAACATAAAAGAGGGTTATGTGTGGTGGATCTGGCGGCCATATTTATGATTCCAATGTCGACAGTGTACGACTAGTAAATACAATTTTAATCTTATTATGCAGTATTTTTATCTATTTTATTTATTGTTTTCGTGTACTAATTTATTATTAGGACAGTTAATTGTGTTATTTTTACTCTAAATTATATGTATTTGTGTTTATATTTATCGAAATGGTTATTGTTTAATGTCCGGAAACGGATTAATTCACATTTTGTTATTTCTAATAAAAAAATTGATTCTGACTTCGGACAATTCAGAATTCAAACGGCCTCCTGGAATGAATTAAATTCGAAGTACGAGTACCATTGTAAGAAGAAACACGTAAACTCTCTTCCTGCTCACAAAATCAAGCCAATATTGTGAATTTCGTAAAAAGGAAAGTTTAAAAGAAATTATCTAATAGAAAATTTTGGTGCAGTGTTTTAATAGAATTTCAATACGCTCTTCATAAAAGTGTCTTATCAATAACAATGTTATTTATTCCCAAAACACAAGTCTCGAGTTTTTTGGTAATAAATATTCTCGATTTCATTCATATACTTTATGATAATGCCGAACGTAAAACGTACGAATTGATTTATATGAAGAAGAATGGGAAAATTTTTCTATAACTTTGGATAAGTGACTATCAAAGGAAATCGCAAATATTTGAATATCAACGTATACAATTTATATGGAAGATTTTAATTTGGGGATAGTTCCAATAACTTGTTCCTACGATGCCAAGAAATAGTTAAAAACCAGTTTTTTGGGAGACTAAACATTTTTAAATTGGTCTAGCGAGCGACAAATGACGGTTCCTCTAATATGAAAACGTTTAGAAAATTATCATCTATAATATGAACTGTGCTATTCAGAGGCGATGTAGCAGTTACTGATGTATTATATAAAAATAAAAGAATTGCTAAAACCGATAAATATGTTACAAAGTGGAATCGGTTTTCTTAATCTCTGTTGTGTAAAAATTCCACCAGATTTCGAGTTTGTCCAGGGAAGCAAGTTCGGCAGTGATGAAACGAAAAACGGAAACTTACCTGTTCCATGTTTAAAATATTGGGCGAAGTTTATTGGCTTAAACTGGCGATGAAGGACATATGTGTAAGGAACGTCAACTAAGAAGTCCATTCCATATGTTATTAGGTGATCATTCAGATTATATCCGACTGGCAGATCAGAAATTACTGGAATCTTCATAATAAATTATAGTTAATACTTATCATTATATCATTATTAAAAAAGTAAATATTTACCCCTAGTCTGTGTAAATCTTCTCTAGGTCCAATGCCTGATAGCATTAGAAGTTTTGGAGAGTTAACAACGCCTGCAGACACTATGATTTCCTTTCTAGCATACACAATGAAAGATCTACCGAAACGTTCGAAACGAACAGCTCTAGCAACTTTATATTGATCAAAAACAATCTGAAAAGTTACATTTAATGTTTGAACTTCTGATAAAAAGAAAAATAATTCTAATATTTTAATTAAGTACAATAGAGTTTGCTTAATGTAATTATTTTGGATCTCGCTCATAATAACAAAAATAATTTTATATATAAAACATCCAGCAACGAATTGCGTAACTTTCCTGCACAAAAAGTTAAAATTGTGTATGGCGTCATCTATTATGAGATTAGGCTGATCACGTAAAGATTTTCGAATTTTCTTCACGTTAGTAACATCTAAAAGGGGCCAGTTTCTTATAGAAGACCTCCCAAGAATCATTCTCCCACGGCAGATCGCCCATATATCGCGTTGCCGAACACAAATAAAACCAAATCATTAATTTGTTAAATTCGTTGCCACTATTCCGCTTAATATCGCGTGTTTCGTAAAAAGTTTATACTAAATCTCGAGAACTTGTCGATCATTATCGCATGTCGATTACGAATTCGTGATCTTTTAATCGTTGTAATTCGTAAAATTCGTGTATCGATCCGCCAAATCTTTGTGAGAATAAGTGTAAAGATCTTAGTTTTCAAATGAATATTTTTTCTTTCGTAAAATCTTTACGCTAAATGCTGCAAAGGAGTGTAAAAATTTTTTTCATATTTAAAGAGCGAATATGCTAGTTAATGAATAATATTCTGTGGAATAAGTAAATAATACTATAATTAGTGAAAATTTTGCTTTCGTCTGTTCTGACATTAAAAAACATTAAATTCTAAACAAAATATTACAGTCTTATGTCTATATATACGAGATTTCAGTTTATAAGAGATGTTCGGGGCGACGTATCGTTCCCAATGTCTCTCTTAAACTAAAATGTCGTAAATACGAATGATCTACTACATTAATTCTTATAATGAAAATTTATACCTTGTTCTGACTTAGAGCAAATATCTTGTCCTTGTTTTCGAAATAACATTAATTAAAGTTCTAAAGAATGATTTTTACTAATAGAGCAATGATTCCCGATAAAATAAAAAATTAACCACTGTGACTCCAATTAACTTTTTTGTGTGGGTTTTTTCGTTTTAAACGACCAATTTTGAAAATTAATGGAATCTAGTATGCTACTCAGATCACAGAAAGATTATCTGCATCAAAATAAATTTCCGAATCTGTCGATTTCTGTTGAATCGATCGATTTTTTAAAATGTTTTACATACAACTTGTAAAAATTAGCAGAAGTCATACGTATTCATAGTTTCTTACCTTAGTTACAAACGAAAACAATAAAATTGTTAAATTAGGACGATCTTTCACTGGCTGTAGAAATGCTTTATTACTGCTACATCTTCTTCCATTCCTTCTAAACGCTTGGGGAAAAGCAAAACCTAGAACAAAATACATAATTCGAAAGACAACAAAATCAACATTGAATAAAAATTTTAAATTATTTATAGTGAAAACTATTTTAAAACGATATTACCTGTTTGAATAGGTCCATTAAAGTCTCTCATGGTATGACCATTTAATATAACAGATTCCATATATGCTTTTCCTAAAGGAGTTATATAATTCGGAGAAGAAACTGTTTGATAACCTCCTGATGCGTGGTATCCTTGAGAAACATAAAAATCATAATTATCTATCTATTCATTATAAAATATACTGAAATATGAAATTAATGAGTACTAGAAAGAAAGAATTCTGTCGACTCCTCAAAGGACTCATTAGATGAGTGTAGTGTAGGTCAGTAGTGATTCTAATTGTTTTCATATTCTTCTTTACACTTATGATTCTTTTTCGTTTTTGCACATGCAAATGACTTTTCTTACTTATGATTCTTTTGAGGATTAACATTTTATTAGGGTCAAACACAATACTATATATATTTGTTATTCATTTTTAGCCAGATTAAACTTTCAAGTTTTGCAGATTTATATTTATGTACTGTAAGTAGCCTAATTTTAATTTCTTGAAATACATTAAATAACTTATAGAATTACTAAAACTTTTATGTTATTAGTAAAAAACTATCCCAAAATACAAACAATAATGCTTTATACTAGGATTTAGAATTTTCTTCCGTAAATTGCCAGGTTTACCCATTATGCAGCTGACGTCCATATAACATCATGTGGATAGCCAAATAGATATACGCACGATATCGTAAAATATCCAAAAATTCCAAATGTAATAACGTCTGGCAAAATGACTCATATCAGTGTTTCGAAACATTCGAATGAACTTAGGTGAATTGACTCACTTTTTCGATGACGAAACCAAACACGCACACACATCGAACTGAAACTCAATCAATGAGTGTAATACATTAAAATTCTCAGCTCTCGATAAGATATTGCAAACATTTAGTTTGTGCTATTGCTTTTAGATTCATAACTTAAAATAAATAAAAATAAAAATTCACGTGTATTGCGGATGGGTGAACGAGCAAATTAAATATGATATTAAAATATTAATAATTATAAGGATTGCTGATGTAATATTTTTTCCTGAGGAAAAACTCAATTATCAGTCACTTCACAAAAAAAAAAAAATAAATAAAATTAAACAGTTTACAGGAATATTCTTCAAGCTTATTAATTTTAATACGACATTTCAGTCCTTAAGAATAGCATACAAATATTCGATCGATGTTCTGGCATTTTGTACTGCCTGTGGACATCCTATCATTGGCATTCGAATCCGAAGAAATATCTCAAATCTGTGAGACGTTGTTAAGTGGTTGTAAGAATTATATACTGTGTATAACTCAAAACGTTAGCCAACATTACAAAAATGACTTTAAATTGTTACAAAATAATGGTAAAGTAACATTATTCAAATAATTTTGTCAGATAAGTCTAAGATAGTTTATTATTATGTGTTGGGTTTAGTGGGTTATACTCGGTACACACCGGTGGCTGTGTACTATGCCGGACCAGAGTCAAGGCATAGCAACCAAAACAAAACTAAAATTAAATGTGTGTGTCAGTGTCAGTGTCTGTATTAAGGAATTTCCTGACAATATGGCATGTATTCAATATAGTGGCCTTCTGTAGTGTGATGTATGTATTTCTACTCAATTGTAATGTTCCCAGGCTTTTGTGTAGCGTGTGTGGTATCACACCTGTACAGGAGAGAACGACAGGTACAATAAGC